CTCCATTCTGATTAATAAATGAACCTAGATATGGAAAATCTTGAACTATTTCAATGTCTACATTTAAATCATCTGTGGTTATTATTTTTGTTTTCATAATCGTCAACTATAAACCTGTCTTTGCACTTTCTTCCTTGGCTTTCTTCAGTAAGTCCCAAGTCTTTGCTATTTTCTCCTAATAATATGGTGTCATCTGTATAACTATATATACAGTTGATGTTCCATCCTCGTTTTCACACCTTCCTCTGAATCTAATCCTGCTTTATGTGTGACATGTTCAGTATTCAGGTTAATGTATATTTAATCTAATGTATGCTTGCAATATGATCCCTGTTGTCTCTTCCTTTCCTGAACCCTGATTGGGCATCTGGCATTTGACATCTAGCACAGCTCCATTCAGCTCTCATTGGCAGAAAAAAGGCCCTTTCTTCATCCCATCTACCACTGCAAAGGCCTTTGAGGGAGAGAAGAGCAGCCAGGGTCTTTTAAACTGAATAGTAGATAAGAACTACTGAGTCCTGTGGAGAAACTGTAAGAGATGGGGGGGGGGGAATGTTAGAGACTACAAAGCTCATGGCTAATTCAGGGCTGGATTGGATGACCCTTGGGGTCTCATTTTCTATGTTTAAAACTGTGCATTTACAAGACAGTTTGTAAAGGAATTTTTTGTCTCTGTTTCATTGTTTATGATAACAAAGGAATGTTATTTATTTTACCTTGAAGGTTAGGCTGACAGTTTTACAGCCTGAGGAAGAAAGCCAGATTCGTTCATGCATAGCAAGAAAAGTGTAACATAATTGGGAAAGGAGGGGATTTGGAGTTATATCGTGTAACCAATGAAAATGTTGTAGTATGCATGTGTTAATATAATTATAAACTAGCTGTGTAAGATGGTATATAAGGATTTTGATTAGCAGGGGAAGAGGCTCCCAGTCACAGGACAGACTTGTCTGGTAGCCTGTTGACAATAAAGCTCTATTTTTCCTGAAATTCTCTCTCTGTTTCTTTTTACCCACAACAAGACTTCTATGCAGGGGTAGGCAGCCTTTTTGAGCCGGGGGCCGGGTTGCTGTCCCTCAGACAATTGGGGGGCCGAAGCACCAAAAATAAATAAATAAATAAATAAATAAATAAATAAAAATGAAAATGAAAATAATTTTTTAAATTTTTTTTTAAAAAATATGCATGCATACTCTCTCAGCCCCAGAAAAGCCATGGCAAAACCCCTGTGGAGATTTTGCCAAGAAAACCCCAAGAACAAGTAATAACAACAATAATCAATATCATCATGGCAGGCGGCGGTGGTGGCAGGTTGCCTACCCCTGCCTCTATGGATACAAAATGTAAGCAAGGAGGGAAGCATGTTTTCTATTCATTTAGATCCCCCTCACCGTTTTAGATGGGATGTCCAATGGGCAATTTGTGCAGTTGGAATATCTGCTTTAAACAAACAAACAAAAACCGAGCCAGAATTCCTGAGGGAAACATGAATGCAGTAACCATGAGCTGTGCATTTGAATGCATTTTCCCACTATGATAGGCATTCCAGTTCCTGCAGTGGCTTTTCTCTCACCTCAGGTTTGGCATGTCCTTCATGCAAGCAGGAATATCTTGGAGTTTGTTGCTGGTGAGAACAAGGGTGCTCAAGTTCTTTAGGTTTTGAATGGATTCTGGTAAATGAGTTATCTCATTCCTCTGTAGCCACAAAGTATGTAGGTTTTCTGCTCTGTAAAGTTAAACAGATCTGTTAATTATGATGAAAATCACTTGAATGGATATATATCTATATTTGCTGTAGCTTCTTTAGCTATGTAGTTCCTCTCTGTTGCCAGAATAATAGAATGTGAGCATGTGTAGTGTCTTCCAATAAATTCATATGGACAAGCATTTCTAACATAAGAAGGGCAGACCTCTGCCTGAGATACAGAAAAGAGATCATGCTAGTCAGGGCTTTCCATACCAACCCAATGGTCCACTTAGATGGAGTTTAGGCCTTTGTGTTTTATTTAATAAGAACAGTAGCTTTTCTGGAGAACAATATGAGCAGCAAGGCCAAACAATTTCCATCAAAGTAGTTGTGTGACTCACCTGTTCCTCTCTTTGCATCCAAGCCAAGAATGGAGCTTATGGGCTTGTTTACATGAGCAAAAAACCCCAAACTCACCCCAATGTTGGTACTGTCTGTCTCCACTATGCAAGGTGACTTCCAAGGAGATACCACGGGTTTTCGCTGCTTACCTAACTTTGCTTCGGAGTAAGCAAAATTGGGGAAAATCTGAGTTTCCCCAAAACCTCACGGTGAGCAGGGGATGTGTTGGCATGTGGACAGTTGGATTGGGCATGATTTGGGCCAAGCCAGTTGTCCGCATGCCAAAGGCCATGACATCTCACTTCATTACACTGAGTAGTACAGGGAAAGGGAATGGTCTATCCACAGAGCTGCCAACACCACTTTCTGTATGGCCTCCCTGGCTCAGTTATCACAGGGACAGGTAGAAGGTAGATTAGGATCAATTGTTGGGTCTCTAGATGATTTGCAATAGATCAGTAAGCGGTTCTGACTTCTAGTGGCTGAACAACTGAACAGTTGTAACAAAAATGTGTTGTTTTTTTCCTACCCCCCTAAATCAGGCTCGTAAAATCAACAAAGTTTTAGAAAAAGCAGGGAGTTGAATTGTGTGTAGATTCCACTTTTTGGTTGAGCATGGTCACATGTGTAAAAAAACAAGACCTACTGTTTTCAAATGCTGAATTTGTTTTTGATCAGGAATCTTGGCGTTGTTTTAAGAGGAACTCCTGATTAATTTAATTGGGCACAGTCTGGGAATTGTCTCTAGTGGGAGTCCACTCTTTCAAACTTTGAGCTGCTAATACAAATATTCTTATCATTTGATAGAGCTCTGGACTGAGAACTAACTAATGTGTTCCCAAAGGGCCACTGTAAGATGATGGTTACCATCCTTTTGGGAACTCATGTATGCCCCAGTTCCATTTAAAGTTTCAAGATCTCACTTCCTAGGATACGAGGGGGTATTGTAATTTTTTAATTATCGCCTTTTAAAAAATTGACAGAAAGTTTGTTTTGATTGGTAGTTGTTAACTTTTCTCTACATAGTCACCATCCAGATTTACACATTTTCCCCAGCGTTTCTTGACCCTCCAAATAGCATTATTGTAGAAGTCTGCAGATTGCACATCGAACCACTCTTCCACTTCATGAATGATGACATCTGTGTTGTCAAATCGGTGACCTTGCAATAAATTTTTCATTTTTGGGAAAAGAAAAAGTCACTTGGTGATG